GGGTTCTGACATTTGTGTTTCGCGGTTTGCACATGCTCTTACTCGCCATGTATTATAGTTTGAAAACACATCGAAAGTTGACATACCTAACTCCCAAATTATACTACTCAAATGCGTTTTCAGCGACATAAGGTTTCATTCAAAAGTAAGTTGATCAAACCAGTCACTATTATTGAAGAACAGCGAAACAGGTGGTTAAAGTACTTTGACGAACTCTAAAATAGATCACACTCTCAAACACAATCATCATCATCGAGGTAGCACACAAAGACACTTACGTTGATGTCGTTACAACAACCATTGAAAAAATCAACGTATTCGTCCGAGAAATTAATTTTGTTGAAGCATCAAGACTAGATAACACACCGATTGAGGAGCAGAAGACGGTCATAGTAGTTACTGTGAACATGATCCACACCGTGTTTAGAAAGATTTGAGATGAAATAAATGTACCGACAAACCATCAAACTACTTATATCTATTTCCATTCATTTTTGAATATGTACACTCCGATGAGTACTGCTTAAATTGTTGAGACTATAATTTTTGGACGACCATTGAGTGATGCCGAATTCACTTAGAAAATATTCACCTACTCATTAGGTTTAGAGAGGATGGTAAATTTTCAGAGGGATTTCAGCTTTAGTACTTAGAATTAGAGGTTTCCATTAGGAATTGAAATCGAGTACAGTACCAAAATGTTATTCACATATCTGGATGTGTAAATATCACGTCAAAACCCATCACTTACAATCTCAATCCTGATTGTTTCGTCTCACCCTCCTACTTTTACTTAGATATGTTGTGCTTCTCACCATAACTATTCGTTATTTAGTTGTTCCGACTCCTTGATTGGCATTGGATGCCTCTGATCAAGTAAATGAGTCACTGGAATGAGGCATGCGTTCTCTATTGCCATCCTCCCCTTGATTGGTATGTCTTGTACATTTTGCAAATGACTGAAAAGTCATGTGACTTGATCTTTGTATTTTGTGTATGTTGCGTGTCTGACCGTCTACATATACAATGAGTTACAAGATAATCAAAAGATAATCCCAACTGAAGTTTTATTATAGCGTTCACTGCAACATAACGTGAAGAGTTGCTGTAACACTAACATGTGAAATGTTGGGGATGTTAGATCCCCAAAATTCGCATGATAATGCCGTATTTTGGTTTTTACGTTTCGCCAGCAGGGGCTGATCAAATGACCTTGAGATTTCAATTCCCACCAGGAAAATCAATGGCTGTGATTGGCTACAGTGTATTTTAGTATGCTATTTTCTTAACTGTCTCAAGGACGTTGTTATGTTGTATAAATAAACGAGAGTTGTATGCTTGATTGTACTGGATTGCTGGGTGTTTGTAGAATATACTTTCTACGCTTACCAAGACTTCTGTTTTACCGTTGGATTCAAGGTAGCCTTCCTGGAAGCTGGTCAAAGTCTCGTTCGCGTTTATCGACTAAGGTAAACTCGTAATAGCCTCCAGCATACTAAGTGCCGAACATATCAGTGGCGACGGGGTAAAAACCATATCCACAAAACATATCAGTGGCGACGGGGCTCACAATTCACAATGTCAATTAACCTTGAACAGTTAGAATCTTTACTGGAACGTCAAGGTAAACGATATGAACAGTTGCAGGAACGTATGTTGGAGCTGTTAAGGAAACAAATGAATTTGAACCCACGAGATTGTTCGTTTTCTGAGACTGTTCAGACTTTAAGCCAACACTTTGGAGACACCTCGTCACTATTTAATACTCGTTATCGATGTTTGAAGCTTATTATGAACGAAGATGATGATTTTCTTACGCACGTGGGCATCGTCAACCGTGAATGCGAACGCTTTCGGTTGAAGTCTTTGTCGGAAGACCAGTTCAAAGCCCTCATTCTCATCTGCAGCCTCCAGTCGAGTAAGTTCAGTGACATTAGAACAAGGCTACTAAGTCGGTTGGAGCAAGATCCAAAGCTTACGCTTAATGATATGGCTCATGAGTACCAACATCTCACGGACCTACAACGAGACTCGACTATAGTTCAGAGTGGTAGTTCAAGCCGATCTGAAATTCATTTGGTACAGCAGCCACCTAATCATTATAAGTCTGCCCATGCTACACCCAGTTCACCCCGCTCCAATTCGGACCAAAAACCCAAAATGAATCCACCTTCTGCTTGCTGGCACTGCGGTTCATGGCACTATGTACGGAACTGCCCATTTAGGCAGCATAGATGCAGGAAGTGTAAAGTCATCGGTCATAAAGATGGCTTTTGCCTACAGAAAAAGCCAAAGCGATCCAGAAGTGCTAAGAAGCCTGTTCCTAGATCCAGTACCAATGCATTGAGCCTAATATCTTCCTGCCAAAGCTCATCACCAGAATGCAAATAGATACTGCATCTGATGTCACTATCCTCTCACGCAAAAATTGGACCAAATTGGGCAGCCCAAGCCTGCAGCACACAACACAAAAGCCTCGTACAGCATGTGGTAATTATCTTCGTCTGTTAGGACAATTGGAATGTAAAGTTGCTTTCCGAGATTCGTCGTTTACTGGGATTGGTTCGACCAGCTAAAATTGGCTGATGTCCCGCTAAATACCATATGCAGCCTGGTATCACAACGACATGACCCAGAAGCGTATACGAAGAACCACGCAGAATGTTATCTGACAACCGCAGTTCGCGCATTACCGGTGTCTGCAACAGACATACAAAATGCTTCTAGAAACGACCCCATCATCAAGATGACGATGAAATATGTCACTAACGGTTGGCCGTCAAAAAAGTTTGAAGGTGACATGAAGCAACTGTATCAGCGGCGGGAGTCACTATGCATTGTCAACGATTGTCTGATGTTTGGTGAAAGAGTAGTGGTGCCAGAATCCCTTCGTGCAAAAGTGCTGAGACAGTTCCATCTTGGTCATCCTGGGATTAAACGAATGAAGTCCATAGCCAGAAGTTATGCATACTGGCCTCACATGGATCAACATGTCACAGCGTTGGTTGAAAAATGCATGCGGTGTCAACAGGCGGCAAAGATGAATGCCAAAATTCCGCCGGTTTCATGGCCCAAACCTGAGCATCCTTGGTCCAGGATACATGTCGACTTCTCTGGCCCAATAAATGGAACTATGTATTTAATTGTCGTCGACGCCTTTTCTAAATGGCCGGAAATCAGCCCCGTTATGCCGCCCACTACAACTAAGACTATACAGCTCCTAACTGAAATTTTCTCACGAAATGGCATACCAGATGTGATCGTATCCGACAATGGCTCTCAATTCACCTCTTCCCAATTCCAGAATTTCTGTCAACGGCTAGCTATTAAACACTTACGCTCGCCACCATACTACCCGCAATCGAATGGGCAGGCGGACAGGTTTGTGGATACGTTTAAAAGAGCACTGCTCAAGTCAAAAGGGGAGGGGACGCCAGCCGAAACGTTACAAAATTTCTTGTACGTCTATCGGACAACACCAAATGAATTGTTACCGGAGCAAAAGTCCCCAGCTGAAATCCTGATGGGAAGAAGACTGAAAACGATTCACAGCCTGATGCATCCGACCAATGCACCCTCATCAGTAGGGACAAAGCAGCAAAGACAATCCGCTTACGAGGTGGGATGCCCTGTGTTTGCCCGCGACTACAGAACGAACCATGGTCCTTGGGTAGAAGCGAGAGTGGTCAGAAGGGTTGGTCGAGTTATGTACGAAGTAGAGGTAGGAGGTGATAAATGGTCACGTCATCGCAATCAGATACGCAGACGGCTAGCCACAGATCGCCCATCAAGAGCAGAAAGCCTTCCCCTTGACATCTTGCTTGATACCTTCAACCTACCGAGAGCCCCGCCACGAGAAGAAACTCAGCAGCCAGCTGTTCTTCGTTCCCGAAGGTATCCCCTCAGACAGCGGCGAACAATAGTCAAGATGCAAGTCGACCCCAGGAGAACAAGCTATTAAAAAGGGGAGGAGTGTTGGGGATGTTAGATCCCCAAAATTCGCATGATAATGCCGTATTTTGGTTTTTACGTTTCGCCAGCAGGGGCTGATCAAATGACCTTGAGATTTCAATTCCCACCAGGAAAATCAATGGCTGTGATTGGCTACAGTGTATTTTAGTATGCTATTTTCTTAACTGTCTCAAGGACGTTGTTATGTTGTATAAATAAACGAGAGTTGTATGCTTGATTGTACTGGATTGCTGGGTGTTTGTAGAATATACTTTCTACGCTTACCAAGACTTCTGTTTTACCGTTGGATTCAAGGTAGCCTTCCTGGAAGCTGGTAAAAGTCTCGTTCGCGTTTATCGACTAAGGTAAACTCGTAATAGCCTCAAGCATACTAAGTGACGAACATATCAGTGACTCAATCAAGGGTGTTTCCATGATATATAAATAAGCTCGATTTGTGTGCTTGTGGACCTTGATTTTCTGAGTGATTTTAGAATGCACTTTCTATGTCTCATCAAGACTTCGTCCTCTACTTAGTGGAGCCTTGGGACAATCGAATCAGGATAGCATATCATGTTACTGCATTATTTGTCTTCGCTCTCGTTTGCCGAGTAAGGTGAACTGGTAATGGCATTCAAGCGTATCGCTTGACGAGCATGTCAAGTTCACAGGAGTTACATAAAATGAAAATAATTTGAATCATTAAATGCAGATAATGCAAATCGAAACTATATTTTTGTCAATTTAAATTAAGTATTTAACAGAGAAATTATGCCAAAAATCTCTCATTTCACTGAACTTATTTTTCATTCGCACTCCTCAAATCTTCTCCACATAATTTCTAACTAGGTTTTCAACTATCAAAGTATTTAATAAAACAAGATATAAATCGTATAGCACTAATCATATTTGGATAAAGATTAATTCATTGATTTGTTCCGATGTTAAAGTACTGTATAGCGCTTTAAATATTCCATCTTTTCCTACTTTTTAAAGGATATTTACAACGCAATCGCTTCAGCTGCTGCAGTTGCATCAGGTGTTCCTTTTAATTTGCCTAGTGCAATTCCTAGTCTGTCAGGAAATTATCCTCTGCCACAAGTACAGCCACTTCCTTCAAACGACTCAATGATCTCAGGTACAGCATCACATTTATTGAACAATGATACAAGATCTTTTCACAATGACAATACACCACATTTCAATTCGAATCAATCTCATTTAACATCGAGCTTTCTTTCAAATTCACTCGGTTGTCTTCCATATCATCCGACAAATTTGCCAGCTACAAGTGGATTTCATGAAGAAATAAAATCAGGTTTATCATATCCTCCGCCTTATTTTCCTTCATCGTCATCATCGTCAACATCATCCATGTCTTCTCAACAACTATCGAAATTTCCACTTTATAATAATAATACTACTAATAACAATTGTTCACCAACTGGATCCGTATTTCCGTTATCTGATCCGAGAGATTTTCATTTATCTAGTTTTCTTGAAAATCACTGTAATAACAACAACAGTAATAATAATAATAATAATAATCCTAATAGTGATATGAAATTATTCAGTTTAACATGTCCTCCCAATCCATTATCAATGACAAATCGATCAGTTTATAATTCAACTGGAATAAATTTTAAAAATTTACCTCCGCCTATATTTGATGAAATCGCATGCAGACCGAATTTAGTATGAAAATACATGTTGATGAAGAATTTGTGTCGTCATATCAACATAATGACAATGTCTTCAGAGTTAATTGAATCATAATCTCTAAATTTATAAACAGATAAATGATAGATAGATGGCTATTTGGTTCTACAATTACACTCTTCAATGTACATAGTATTTTACTGAAAACTTAGTCAAATTATCTATCAGTAATTTTTTTTCTTTTGCTAAACATCTAGAAGAAGAAACAGCACGAAATAAAGATTTTGTAAATAGAAAAATTTTTACACATTTACATCTACCCCCTAATGAATAGAGATGATGACTGCCATTGATCCAACTTGATTATGAATAAATACTATTATTCAATAGTAGTATGTATATGTGTGTGTGTGAATGCAAAAAACTTTTTTAGGTAGCTTTTTTTCCCCTTAACTTTTGAATTATTTATTGTAAAGTATAGTTTCTATTTTGTGTTTCTGTTGTGATATTTGGCTATAAGCTGTGATGTAAATGACAAGATATTTCTGAATATAAAATCTAATTATTTCATTGATGTGGCTTGGCTATTTAATTGGTGTATATAATGAAAGTTGGATTAAGTAAATGAAGCGTAGAAATAGATTTGTAGAATAAAATGAATTTATTCTATTGTATGAGGCTTTTCAACAGTTACAAATGGTTTAAAGTTAGAAAAAGTGGCATAACTTGGATGCGCACTGCTGAGGAGTCTCATACCAGGACGAAACGACCGTCCAGTGCTTCCAAGTTTTTAATGGTGGTCTAACATTGGTCGATTCATGGTTTCAAAAAAATGTGTAACTTAACAATCTTCACAACCCCGTAATGCAAACAGATGTTTGTCATACGTTAGTTAATCAAGTCTATACGGATGGTGTTCGAAAGGAATCATAAATTCATAATGAATCCAAGAAGATTGGCTAGTTTATCTTTCTAATAGAAAAAGGACAAACCTGTAGAATTGAGATGCTTACGATTGATGAATCACTAAATAGTGACCATGATATATCAAGTTTGTCTGGACTTTTCAGCACTAATCGATTCCTATCGATCAGTATTATTCAATGTTCTAAACTAGCAATTGCGTGCATTTGAAAAATGTGCACATTTGAACAATGTGAAATGATCTGGCTAATTGTAGATATCAGTTGAATATCATTCCAATATTCAAATGTTTCTCTCTCCTATACAATTTGTTCTTTAAACTACAAATAATACAAATCATACTAAATGATGGTGGTCTACAGTGAGAAAGATGATAGAAGTTTCAAGTGTAATCTGTTGTTGAAATCAACTTCATAAATAATAAAACACGAAAAAAGCAAATCTCTATTTATGTATAATATGTACAATATGCTGATAAGTCCCATAGCAATCAGTCAGTCAGTCAGTTACAACGTAGAACTTCGTACCTAAGTACATTATTTCAGGTTGCCATACCGCATTAGCACAGAGATGCAGCTGTCAGTTCAAATCCAAGAGTGATAGCGATAGTAGAAGTATTAACAGTAATGGAGAAGATTAGGGTTCGAAGATATGATTCGAGAAGTATAATTCAGTGAAATAACTTTAGAAAGAGAAAGATAGAAATAATGAGGAATTCAGAAGGATAGAGCTTGCGAAAACACAAAGAAAGGATGCAACTGCGCCATCACAAACGATTTTGAGCAATGTCGCTCAAGGTCTCTAACCGTCGGTGACTATTCGTCTCGCGGACCCCAACCAGGTAGCCTACCTCTAACGTCATGTCTCAGTCCACTTGTTAGTGATTTCATGGATATGTGCCATGTTTTGGTTTGGCCGCCCCTAGCTTTCTTCCAATCTACTTCTACACCGCAAAACATAGTTCGTCGAGGCAGTCAGTGGTTGCGCATTCGTAACACATGTCCTAACCACCTCAACTGACGTAGTGCCAAAATGTGACCAGGTCTAAAACCAGGTTGATTTTCTCTAGTCTGCTCTTCACGCGCCTTCGTTAAGCGTCGGAGTATTATTGAGGTCAATATTTTCGATACTATATTAGTTGAACTTATTCCTCTGTGATTTCCACAAGAGGACTTTGGTCATTTCCTATAGACCGGAACAATCAGTGCTTGAGACCAGTCAGATGGGATTACACTCAGTTCCAATATCAGGATGAAACGGCTATCCAGTGTTTCCAGGTTTCTAGTGCTGGTCTAACAATGATTCATTCATGATTGCAAGGTATAATTAGAAGAAATTGTACCAGTTCCATGAACTCTTGTTAATTACATTGTATCAAGAAAGTGTAGAACAATGACGTGGTGATAAAGAAAAAAAATAATGTTTTCAGTATGATGTAAAACTTCTTTGTCTGTTTTTTATAGGACTACCGTGAAAAGAAAGAGAAAATTATTGTCGGATATTGTGACCAAATCACTAATGAAATCGACAATAATAGAGTAATGCAAAAACATTTGCATTTTCTCCTTTTTTTTAAATTTTACCAATATTGTCCGTCAGGTGTTCATTGTACATACAAGTGATGATAATTAAGACCAGTTGTTTAAAGATTACTAGATCATTCTTTCCCTGTAGGGATAAATATTGTTGAACAGCGGGTCAACAGAAGCATACTTCTGATTTACAACAGTTATACCATATCATAGGTATTTATAGTAGAAATATTTTTCAAAAAAAAATGTTACTACCACTTTTTTAATCGTAAAAATTATATTAACACACTATTTGTCTAATAAATTTTTACTCAGCAGGATTTTTGTATGAAAATTGTGTTCACTATTGAATGAGAAATTAATTACTTAGTAAAAGTAGTTGTTTAAAAAAAATACTTTAATGATATTATCTGTATCTTCTTATATGTGGATAGTTGAAAATAATTTTACATACACATTGGAAGATTTGAACAACAAATGAAAATGTACAACATTCTAATGATACTGAGATGATAAACAGCATGTTGACGACAAACAAATACAACATGATCAATGGAAAATGTGGAAAATGTTGAATATAAAACTGTTGAAAAAATAAACATTCTGCATCGTGTTTAAGGGAAAAAAAACATAATGAAAATTTTAAAAACTTGTATTTCATTATGAAGTTGGGGTTATTATGAAACTTCTTAGAGAAAAAAAATATGTAACTGTTATACAGCCTTATCTTACAAGTAATCTAGATACGAAATAAACTTGCTTGTAAAATTCTTAAACCAAGTGTTTATTTCGACTAGTGTTCTAGTTGAGATTTTTACAGTTATAACATGTAACCTGATTCGGTAACAGTGTGATACTGTGTGTGTGTTTGTGATATCATGGAACGATTTCATTTTTCCCAAATTAAGGGTGTAGATTCACGAATTTGCGAATATGATTTTGTTGGGGATGTTAGATCCCCAGAACTAACTTCATAAATATCTTTATTTTCGATTTATTTCATTGGCCGATCAGTTGACCTTGGGATTGCACTTCCCAACAGGAAAATATTTGGCTGTGATTGGTGACTGTGTCATTTTAGTGTGCTACTTTTGTGACTGTCCTAAGGACGTCTCTATAGAGTATAAATAAACGCAATTTTAGTGCTTCGATTCATTGTGTGCAGGTTGGGTGTTTGTAGAATACAATCTCTACACTATATCAAGACTTCTTGCTGGTAAAATTGGGTCCAGGGATCACAGTAGCCCACCTGGACGCTGGTTCATTGTTTTGTTCTTGTAATTCAACTAACGTGAACTCGTAATAGTTTAAGCATACCTAGAGACGAGCGTAACAGATTTATACTCAAAATTATTTAATTATTTATCATTTCTAATAATTCATTTATTTGGTGATATTTAAAATCATGAATAGATAAATGTTAAACCAGCATTACAAACCGGGAAGCACTGGACAGCCGTTTCTTCCTGGTATGGGACTTCTCAGCAGCGCGCATCCACGACTCCTGCACCCAGCGGGAGTCGAACCCAGGACACTTAGTCTTGCGCACGAACGCCTAACCTCCTGACCACTGAGCCGGTATCTAACGGTGTTAATGTCTAACTTTGATCAATTCACGGAGTTGCGCAACCTCATACACTGTCTTAGGTAGTTACTGTCTACATCCGAACAGGTTGAACTTCACTGGTCAAGACTCCCCACAAGAACTCGGAGAAGATTTCCCACGGAGCTAGTCACTAGTGAGCACATGTAACTGCATTATGGGGTTGTGAAGGTTGTTATGTTACACATTTGAAATTATGAATCGACCAATGTTAGACCACCATGAGTTCCATACCAGGACGAAATCTATTTATTCAATTATTTAAACACATAATTATAGGTACAAATTAGCTCCGAAATATTTAAACACCGTACAGATCAATGTACTTTTTTATGGGTTAGGATGTCTGGATGCGTGCATGCCTAAACCGAGCCTATAACCTAAGAGTCTAATGCGCAAAGCAGTGAAGCAACGTTATAAGACAAAGTCTCATAATAACCAGTGACCAGCAATAGAATCATACGCTATCTGTTTCCTCAGGATCATGGAGCCTATGTGCACCACAGGATTGAAATCAGGGCTTTACAACTCCCATTTTGAAAGATTACTAACTTTGCATCATGTTTCAGATTTTTTAATTGTTAAAATTTTTAAAAAAGAAATCATTGTGTCTGGTCAACTTTAGGAAGTGGTTTTAGGTATTCGACAGGAAAAGCTGAGAAACATCGGTTTAAGATTAATAGGGAAAATTATTTTCTTAAAAATCATGAGTACAGTCGACTGATGACTGCCAAAAATCATGAAATCTACTAGGCTCACAGTTTTCAATTGACTATGTCCAACCATCCAGCATCTCAGTATAGTTTTCCAATGTCTAATCATTTAAACTGGTGGCTACTTTGAGAAATGGATCAATGGAATTTGACCAATATACTGAAAAAAGACTAGTCATATATGACATTTGTCACTACTGAATTATTCAATCACTTGTGTCCAACTATGTTATAAAGTTTGTTGATCATTTAATTAACAGTCAAATAAAA